GCCCAGTTTAATGTCTTTATCAGAGATCTAAAAGCAGATATCACTTTAGTCACTGTACCTTTTGGAACACTAGTCAGTCTTTGTGAGTGAAGCTCCTGCCATCCATGCCTCTTTCAAATTCACTGAGATCAACTGCATCTGCTAAGCATTTTAATATGTCACAGAGCATGGTAGGATTTGGACTACTGGGGTGTCTGATAGCCTAGTGGTAGAAAAGGTGAACCAGCAACCAAAGGCACATGTTTAAATCCCAGGACTGATTAGATATATCTGGTTGTGCAAGACCACCCTTTGCCCCAGGTGGTGCTGCTGTAGAGTCAGTATGGGACATAACATTATTGCATCATAACAATACACCAGTCTGGAAGCATCTGCACTTGTTATGGGTTTTCCTTTAATTTGTCATCTGTCTGTATGTCCCAGTATTTGCTGTTTTTGTTAAGGTTCATTACCTAATATATTTAAGGTCAAAAATTTCCACTAAATACTTTGTCAATAATTTTATGTTAGTTGTCATTAATCATCGCTGTGAAATGTCCTCTTTTCTCCCTTGGTAATATTTCAGGAGTCAGGCTAGTTGGTGGTTCTCGCTGCTCTGGGAGAGTGGAGGTTCTTCATGGAGAGACCTGGTCCACAGTGTGTGATGCTGACTTTGACCAGCAGGATGCATAGGTTGTGCGTCGAGAGCTGGGCTGTGGGCTTCCTGTGGAGGTGCTGGGAGAAGCTCCTTTTGGCAGAGGGGAGGGTCAGATGTGGTCAGAGGAGCTTCAGTGTAGAGGCAACGAATCTCAGATTTACTTCTGTCCAACATCATCTTCACTCAAACACAACTGTTCGCATGACAGTGATGTGGGACTCATGTGTGCTGGTAAGAAATGCATTCACAATTTATCTATAAATTATATTTTATTTCTTTCTTTTATTTGCAAGCAATTTTTCTTTGCATTATTTAAAGGTTATACTGCAGCATTATAGAGCTGTCTTTCAGGTTTTGTGTGGTGTTCTCTCTCTCTCTCTCTCTCTCTCTCTCTCTCTCTCTCTGTTTTACAGTCAGTGTGAGGTTGGTGGATGGTGGCAGTCGCTGTGCTGGGAGAGTGGAGGTTCTTCATAGAGGACAGTGGGGAACAGTGTGTAGTCGTGGTTGGGATATGAGAGATGCTGCAGTGGTGTGTAGAGAGCTGGGCTGTGGAGAGGCTGTAGATGCACTGAGTGATGCTCACTTTGGACCAGGATCAGGACCAATCTGGATGGATAATGTTCACTGTAGTGGATCAGAGTCAACACTGAAGAACTGTTCATCTTTAAAATCAAGTAAACATGACTGTGATCATTCTAAAGATGCTGGAGTCATCTGCTCAGGTAAACTATATTCACATATTAGAAATAAACTGACTACAGAAAGATTTTAAATGATCAAATTCACATTTTCTACCTATTAAACTTTATTGTCTATAGTTATGAATCATTCTTACTTATTACACACTTGTTTTTTTATATATATATTTTATTACAGAAAAGCATTGCAGTATTGTTTGCAATGATGAGAGTAATGACCAATACAGAAACAGCAAATCACAAGGTGCAACTGTAGCCGCTACACACAGTACAGGCCAGTGAAAGAAGGTTACTTGGAAATGCTTCAATCAAAGTTTCAGTGAACTCACAATATTGAGTAGAATTGGAAAGCAGATCATCCCAGTTAAATAATCCAAGTACAGGTAGCAGCAGGAGGACAGTCACACTGTCAGAACAGAAACTCAGGACAGAAACTCCGGTTCCACGAACCGGAAATAGTGCATAACACATGAATACATGAATACAAAAATAGTCTCCCTCTCTTGTCGGCTTGTCTTTGATGGCCCCTTCCCTAAGGGAAACTCAATGTTACAGCTGCAAGGCACCACAGCAGATGGTGGGCTGATGGTCAGCTCTCAGGGCCAAAAAGGGACTGAGCAGTCCAGGTGAGCCATTACTGTGCACAGTCCCACCCAAACTCACACTCAACAAACTACTAAATAGTGCCTACTCACCAGCAGCAGATGTCATAGGTCCTCCTTAGCATAGATGGGGAAACTGGTTCTCCCACTGGTATTACTGTGAAACACATCATTCAAATACATGCAGTCCTTATCATCTTAATAGTAATGTTTTTTTTGTTACAAATTTGAAGCCAAAAAGTTTTGAATAAAACTACCATACAGAAAACAATCACATACAATGTGAAAAACTTTAAGGTAAATTTATCTTATATTTAATTTACTGATGTCCTACCATAAATACATTTAGAGTAAAGATCAGAAAGGTAACTAAGTTGGCTTTTCAAATTATTTGCTGACAGCTTTTGAGTCAAGTCCTCAGCATATAACACTAATACATGAGACTGGAGAACACATGACAAGTCCTCAGCATATAACACTAATACAATGAGACTGGAGAACACATGACAAGTTATCTGAGACCATTCCTCCATACAGAACCTCTCCAGATCCTTCAGATTCTGAGGTCCACACTGTGGACTCTCCTCTTCAGCTCGTTCTACAGGTTTTCTGTAGAGTTTAGGTCAGGGGACTAGGGTGGCCATGGCAAAACCTCAATTCTGTGGTCAGTGAACCATTTTTGTGTTGATTTTGAGGTGTGCTTTGGATCATTGTCCTGCTGAAATCTTATATATCTCAGTCTGGTTATTAATACATTTAAATCTCTGTCACTGGCAGTTCCCAGCATTGCCACTAGAATGCAATATCACATCCTAACGTGACTATTTTACATATTAAAAATGCTTATACAACACCAAGATCATTGTCCTGCTGAAAGGTGCAAACTATGGCCCAGTTGGCTGAAGCAGTCAGGTTTTGATTTTTTTTTTCTGCTGATACCTGTGTTACCATGTATTTGAATAAATTGTCCAGGGCCTGCCCCACAACATCACAGATCCAACTTCACAGTGGCAATGGGGTACTTTTTTGCATAGCTGTCTTCATGTACACATTAAACTTGCTGGTGTTTCTTGCCAAAAACTTCTATTTTGGACTCATCTGACCATAGAACACAGTCCCACTGAGAGTTCCAGTGATGTTTGGCAAACTGTAGGAGCTTGAGTTTGTTGGTCCTGAGCACAGGCTTTCTTTTGCTAAACCCTGCTTCAGTTAGATTTCACTGTTAAGAATTTCTAGGGGTACATATAGATTAAAAAAACAACAAAAAAAACATATGTATATATATATATATATATATATATATATATATATATATATATATATATATATATATATATATATATATATATTAGAATGGCTAAGATATTGTAAAAGTGGGATAAGATGAGGTAAGGAGAAACACTTTCAGAGTTCTGCACACATCCACCAGTCACTCTACCATGATCATGGCACCCTCTGTCGTAATGGTTTGGTTACCGGATGCTACCACACCTTTGTAAAAGACATCGCTTAGCGCTGATAGAGAAGACTCCCTCACAATGTCAAGCTATCCCTTTGGGAATGGTAGGCCTTCATAGCTAGTCAATGAACCACTGTAGCCAACCACTCTCGCCTTGGCCTATGAAGCAAGCACAACCTGACAGTGACCACTGCACAGGTCCGGGGACCTGAGACACTGTGAGTCAGCAATGGTGTCGAGGCCATTGTCAGTGCAAGGCAGAGAGTATGTATATGTTTTGTGACCACAGTGAGCCACCTGTAGTCCACACAGAACCACCAGCTGCAATTTTTCTTTTTCACCAGGACTGGTAGGACTGCCCACTGGCTACAGGTGGTCTCAATGGAACAAGCCACAGCGATTTCATGCACCTTTTAAACAATACAGCATTACTTTTAAGGCAGTATTTTCCTGCATTTAATTATTTTTTTCCTTACATGAAAATATCCAATAGTAAACCTAAGAAATAACCAGTCACATTTTTTTTTTTTCTAATTTTCACACAATTGTTACTGGTGGTATAATGTGTTGTATACTGAATTAATATATTTCTTCTATGCAGTCATCAAAAATCTTATATATCTCAGTCTGGTTATTAACACATTTAACTCTGTCACTGGCAGTTCCCAGCATTGCCACTAGAATGCAATATCACATCCTAACGTGACTATTTTACATATTAAAAATGCTTATACAACACCAGTTTAAATACTGAGAGCAAAGACAAAAACAAAAAACAACAGTCATCAATGTATTTCAACATTATTACTTTATTGTAACATACACTGTAATGTTGTTATATTAGTGCAATGTGTATTGCAATATCAATATTATAACTTCATTGTAACATTTGAACTTGTACTTTTGTGTAATATCCAAGGTAACATTGTCATTGTGACATTTTCATGCATTCACTAACACTTGTTTAGCAGTCAATGACTCATTCACACTGAGGTAACATAAAGGTAACATTTAGGATAGAGACAGACTGTAGAAACATCAAATAGGGGCCTACACTGAACAAAATAAAATCATAGAGGTAGGCTTCAGAACTAAGTGCACAACTAGTTTGTGCATCACTGCTTTGAAATACGATCAAGTCAGAACTACTGTCAAACAGGTCATACACGGAGAAGCAAACTAACAGACTGGAAGTCTCAGTAAGCCTCTGTAAGCAAAGGCAACACTTCACAAAGTGTAAACAAGCTGAGGGGGTTTATGTAGTGGAGGTCTAAGAAAAACTATATCCATTTACAAACTGAACTGGAAGAGTCAGCATCCTGGCTCAACAGACACACTATTACCAAGAAGGTGTAAAAGGGCTGGTAGAGTAGCAGAGAAAGGAGTCATTGCACTAGTTTAAGTGCTGTCTTTATAAACTGTTCTAGAAATGCATTTATGGATCTTGTGTACTAGTTGCTGTGTACACTTGCTGTGTTATACAGTATTAATTACATTAAATAAGACAGTGACAATGTTCTCCTAAAAACATTAGTATAATTTTTTTAATTTAAACTTGTGTACCTTTAGATGTCCTTGAATTATCTTTTCTTGCAATATTTCAGGAGTCAGGCTGGTTGGTGGTTCTCACTGCTCTGGGAGAGTGGAGGTGCTTCATGGAGAGACCTGGTCCACAGTGTGTGATGCTGACTTTGACCAGCAGGATGCAGAGGTTGTGTGTCGAGAGCTGGGCTGTGGGCTTCCTGTGGAGGTGCTGGGAGCAGCTGCTTTTGGCAGAGGGAAGGGTCAGGTGTGGTCAGAGAAGCTTCAGTGTAAAGGCAACGAATCTCAGATTTACTTCTGTCCAACATCAACTTCACTCAAACACAACTGCTCCCATGACAGTGATGTGGCACTAGTGTGTTCTGGTATGTGATTTATTCATTTATTTATTTAATGCATGTAGAGTGGTATCAGATTTAAACACATTAAACACATTTCATGTTGAACCAAGTTGTATTATGACTCCTGATTTGGTCTTGTCATCAATATACTCCTATATTCTCTCTAACTCTTTCTGTCACAGACAGTGTGAGGTTGGTGGATGGAGACAGTCGCTGTGCTGGGAGAGTGGAAGTTCTTCATAGAGGACAGTGGGGAGCAGTGTGCGGTTGTATCTGGGATATGATTAATACTGCAGTGGTGTGTAGACAGTTAGACTGTGGGAAGCCACTGAGTTTGGATCTTGCTGCTCCAGGATCTGGACCGATCTGGATGAGTCATGTGGACTGCAGTGGATCAGAGTCTACACTGAAAAACTGTGGATCACTGGGATGGGGCAAACATAGCTGTGTTCATCTTATAGATATCGGAATTCACTGTTCAGGTATGTATCAATCAATTTTAATACAAAATCCTACTGCTTGCAGAAAAGCTACACAGAAGCTTAAACAACTAAATATTTTACCAGATTAACCAGTCTTACCAGTATTTAATGTGCACATGCTTTGCCTCTACTATAGTTTCCATTCTTTATTGCTTTCAGCTTTTCAAAGAAATATGCTTGTGAATACTTTTAAAGTTCAGTCTTTGACCTTGGTTGCACTTTTCGCTTTCTTCAATCCATCTAATCCTAATTACAATTTTAATCCCTTTAATGGCCAGGGCCCACACTTCTAGCTCTGCCAGTTTACATTGCAGTCCCTGTAGTTGCTTAATAATAAGCCTTAGTATGTAATAAGCCTGGGATGTTAAGAGGTTAATCAGTCCACAAAACCTTATTCCACATCTCATGTGTCCAGTTTCGATGTTCCACTGCAAATTTTTTTATCCATTTGGCATCACTTTACATTAAGGGATGCAAATTAATTGATAATTGTATGCTAATAAGTAATTAAATACTGATTATTAATTAACTGCCCATTAGTCATTAGTTACTGATTAAGTAATTAGTAATTAAGCACACATTAACTGATAATTTAGTCTTACTCATTAATTGTATATTAACTGCTGCTTATTAAACTGCTTATGAACTCACATAAATTAGAACTATCAAGTACTTATGTGTTAACCCTATTAATTGTCTATTAATTAACCACTAAAACTTCCAGGCTTATTACATACTAAGGCTTATTATTCAGTAACTAGGGACTTCACTGCAAACTGCCTGAGTTATTCTTAGGTTATAGAAGTGTGTAATAAATCCTAAATGGTCCTTGGCCATTTAAGGGGTTAATTCCTGATCTAACATTACATTTTCCTCCACTGTATAGTGTTGTATTGATCGCAATTCTTGATCTTTACTAGACACTTTCTTTTACCTCCACATATTCAGATGCCTCTGTATCCTCAGAGCTGTCTTTACATTTTCACCATTAATTACTCCTTACTTCAAGAAACTTAACCATTCATTACTGCTTTATGTGTCCCTCCATTAAAGACGACTAATATACTAATTGTATAACTCATGACTAAGAGCAGCCCATACACACTTCAGTGTGAATCACAGAAGAAACTTAAGTGGACATACTGGTTAGGCCTAAAACACAGGCCTCTTATTGAAAGTATGTAGACAGTTGCTTTTTTAAGCCTAGAAATGATAGAAAACAATATCTGTAACAATATTATCTTAATATCTTATCTTAATATCTTAAAGGAAGGGTTCTTTCTGGAAACCTTAGAACCATAGAAACCTGATCTTAGATCCTTAAACAACCTGTCATTAGATAATATGTGCAAGTATGAAGGACTTAACAGATTAAACGTTAAAAATCAAGTGAAGAAGTTAGAGAGAGAAACACAAAAACAAGTTAGAGAGAATTAAGATATCAGTAACTAGTTAAGTCTTAATCATTCATACTATAATTAGTAGTATGAATAATCACTTTACTGGGAGAGACACAAAGTGGCAATTAATTAATTAATTACATTAAATCAGAATTGAGGCCATTGATGTTAAGTGTTAAGCCTGAGGTTCACCACCACCTTTACAGTCTTTTGCATATTGATTTCCTTTCTGTAGGCAGCTTTTTGAAGGGCTATGAAGCCCACCATGGTGGTGTTGTCTGCAAAAGTCAGGATCTTCACAGCTAACTCCTTAGAGTCGCAGTCATTGGTGTAGAGATTTAAAAGAAGGAGTGAGAGCATACAATCTTGTTGTACTCCGGTACTGAGTGACCAGGTGTCTGATATGTGTTTTCCTAGTTGCACCTGCTGTCTCCTGATTGTCAGGAAATCCATGATCCACTGACAGATAGGATCTGGCACAGACAACTGGGACAGTTTGACCTGTAGAAGCTCTGGCACTATGGTGTTGAAAGCTTAGCTGACTTCCACAAACAGTCTAACATATGCTCCAGGTCTGTGGAGATGCTGTAGCATGATGTGCAGGGCCAAGTTGATGGCATAACTGACAGACTTTTTTGCACTGTACACAAAGTTTGTAATAGCCATCAGATGAGCTAGGACTGTCAAAGAACTTCATGACTACAGATGTCATGGCTGCACACCTGTAGTTATTTAGTCAGTTTGTGTGTGTGTGTGTGTGTGTGTGTGTGTATACATCTATTTTTATTTATTTATTTATTTATTTATTATTATTATTATATATATGTGTACTGGATTGATGTTCGAGGTTCAAAGCATGTGGGAACAGAGCAAAGTTCCAGGATGGATGAAGAGGCTAAGTCTGGCCCTGGAGCTGTTTTCACCTTTTGTTAATTGAAAAGCCTGTTGACGTCCAGTTCATCGATGGTGAGATGAGCAGGGGGCAAAAGTGAGAGATCCAGGATAGGGGGAGGGCTGGGGACTGGGACAGAAAGATTGATAATTGTTTTTCCACATTTAAATCTGTAGTACAGTCTTTGGTGAGTTTGAAGTTGCTCAGGAAAAGACAATTTTTCTAACCTTATAGTTGGAGATATCTTGTAAGCCTTTCCAAGCAGAAGTTGACTCATTAGCAGCCAAAGTGCCTTTTGGCTTTTTTTGGGTATTTTTTCTTTGCTGCTTTAATCCCTTTCCCCAGCTTGTACTTGGCCTCTTTATAGAGAATTATGTCCACACTCCTGAATGCTGTGTCCCTTTCTATCTGAAGCAGTCTGAGTTCAGTTCATTTCTGAGTTCATTTTTGGACCTGTATGTCATGTTTTTCTTATGTACAGCTGTCCATGCAATAAATTTTCATCAGTGTCTTGCTACCTCCTTCTAAAAGGAGATCAAATATTTCTAATATTACTTATATGACGATTAACTATACAAAACAGCAATAGGACTGATTCAAATAAACATTCAAAAGTAGCTTAAAGTAGCATAAAGCATGAAGTATTACACAAGTATTTCATATAATGTTTTTCAAAGTCATTATGTGCATGGATGAGTAAGGACACGCCAAAACCCATTAACACATTTTTCTACATCATTTTTTCCATAATCTGTAAAAGTAAAATTAATTTAAACACCAGGCTCCTAAATACAATAAATACAATAAAGCAAACAACTATCAATGGATAGTATATTCTTAGAACTTATGATAATGACAATTATGGTAGCATACACATGGTATGGTGTTGTGAATCTAGTAAATTATGATTGTTAGTGTTATGTTTATGCCCATTAAATATTTCAGTTATATGTAAAAAGGGGTAAAGGGGTGTAGAACTAAATTGGGCAAATTAAAGAAATATTAAACTAAACAAGGCTAGCAGTATATATATATATATATATATATATATATATATATATATATATATATATATATACAGTTATATATAGTTACAGTATATATATATATATATATATATATATATATATATATATATATATATATATATAGTAACGGGTTTTGCAATTTTTAATATTATTATTGCTAGAACCTTATGTGATTTATTTGAAGTCTACAGACCAGGGCAAGAGAGAGAAATGCTCGCACCAAGGATGCTTCAGAAAAGGGAATTTATTGGCTAAATATCAAACTACTTTTGGACTACATTTAATGATAAACAATAGAAAATGAAACCAGAAAACAAAACAAAACAAAGTGATAGTAATGAAAGACAAAATAGCTCGAGTAAGTTAGAGTGATTCACGGCTAAATGGTATGAGGCAGTGTGGTTTGGGGAGTCGCTTGGGAGAGCCTCTAGAGAATTAACCTAAGCCTGGACGGGAAGAACTATATGGCTGGATGTACCTATAAAAGTTCTCTTATTAAATAAATTGGCGTCAGGGCCCTGACTGCAAATTGATGGTTCCAGCTTACGTGGGAGTCGGGGGCTGACTTCAGGTGGGGTCGTCTCAGGACAGACTCGATCAAAGGCTGGAGCTCACGCGGTGGTTCCTCTCCTAGCTGGCCGTGGATGATGCATCTCCGTGCGGGCACGCGCCTTCCCGTCAGTGATTGGACAGAGGCGTCTCGTGGCCATCTGATGGTGGAGCTTGGGCAGCCTTTCGATGGTCGATCTGTTCACAGATCAGTGCGTGGCTCTGGGTGCGATGCTGGGTCTCCGTGGCATCAGAACCTCTCCCACTCCGCTGGTTCAGGTTGCAATCAGGGTTCTGAGGCTGGTGGTACTAATTTAACTAACTACCTCTCTTTAGCAGAATCGAAAGTTATGGATATATTCTCCCGGGCCAGACAAGAAATATCCACCTTCCTTCTCTGAGGGTGGTTCAAACTTAAGGTGTGTAGGCGAACAGGCAAGTTACAAACAAACAAAGGTTTCAGATCTGAAAATTTAGCGTCCTAATACTTCTGACCTGTCTTTCTGACCTAGGCCGGCACAAACTTAGAAACTTCTGTTGCGAACGCAGGAACTCCCCAAATTTGCGGTGCACTCTGGTTTTGCTCGGCTGGAGGCCCTACCCTTTGGAGGTGGTGCCAGAGTGCTGATAGGTTCTCCTCACCTAAGGTTCTCTGATTGTTTGTGCATAGTTTGAGGAATGCCTTCCCCAGAATCACTGCCTCCTTTGTTTCAGCTAGTTTA